CCCCATATCTCTCACATAGGCATTTGTATGCTGCATCAATGTCAGCATAAGTGTTCTGCTCGCTCGCCTATAGAAGAAGAAAAATGAATCATCCTTTAGTACCTTAACTTCAAGCATCATGAATGCCCACATGGAGTATTTCTTTTCTTCTAACATTACCTTGCCATTGGACATTCCATACCCAGTGTAGTCATACCTACATAGGGAACCAAGAATGAACAAGAATTCAAACTTCAGATTAATATTCAGTTGCTATTGAGTCATGCTAAAATAAATCTTAATCTGATGTTAGATTCTTAAACAAATCTAATAGTAGCAACAGTTCATTTCTGAATCTGCACAGCTAAGCTGTATCCAGTAAACTCAATCATCATTAATTCATAATCATCATCATCAGAACAAAAAGCAGCAGAATTGAGCCCTTAAGATGAAATACAACAAAAAAGAGCTCAACTTTCAGTTTGATCCAACACCCAGGCTAACCTAACCATCCAAAACCCTAAATCACTGAACAGGAAAAGTGATAAATGTTCACAGATTCAATGTACCCCATCACATTGACGCGAAGATGACGGCTAAGTTCGCAGAACAAATCGTACATTTGGCCCACGTCAGCGGCGTTTCCGTGGGAGTAGAGCAGCGTTAGCTTCGCCGCCGGGTTCTTCACGTACACCGCCACTATTTCCGTCCCTCTCTGGGTCGCAAGCTTCAAAACGTCCACGTTCTCCCTCTCCGTCACCCCCGTCATCTTCAATTTCTTGGTCGACTCCTCCACCGCCAGCCCGTACGCCGGCGGATCCGGCGGAAAAAATGCAAACTTTGCCGCCATTGATGACGCCATCGCCCCCATATCTCCCCCCAGCAAATCTATCTACAAAGATATGTATAACAATATATACACTCGTATCTACATTAACGCCCTTAACAATATATACAATAACAGATTTGGAGATGCATAGCTGGATAAAATATCCCCCTTTATTGTATATATATTTTGATTTTGATTGATACGGAGATGGATTTCGAATTTAAAGCGATTTAGGGTCCATCTCAATTGATGAGGAATAAATTAAACATTTTTTCGGGATGGGTTGATCTTTGGATTAAAATAAGGATAATCATTATGGTGTCTTTATTATTAGCAGGAAAAAGATGAACCATACACACAGCAGTGTGTGTACCGGGTGGGGTTTGAAGTTTGAACGGAGAAGAAAGTCGGTGGAGGGAGGGATTTGCGGCGTTGATACAGGGAAGGAGCACGTGTGATTTAATGACGACGTGGTTTGTACGACTGGTTAAGGACTCTCTGTTGGGCATGTGGCCGGAAAAGTTCTCATGTCTGCAGATAAATTAGCCAAATCGACACTGTCAACCACCACAATACTCTTCCGACATTATGTCTTAACTATAACACTCTCTCCACGGTAAGAACAAAGGAGTTGCCCCCGCTTTCTTGTTTTTAACTTTAATGTATTCAATTAAAGTTTGGATTCGATTTCATTTTGTCAAATTTCTATTAGAAATTATTTTATATTTTTACATTATTTATCTACTTTACACCAATGTCAGCGGCCGAAGGGTGCGCTAAGGTTTTGGAGCGCAAAGTCGTGTTATTGTCTGTTTTTGTTTAGCTTCTTCAGGGAGATGCATTGACATATATGCTCTAGTCATGATGAACGGTAATGTAAGGGACATGAAGTTGTTGGGGACGCAGCCACGCAGGGACGAAGCCAGGATTCGATTGAAGAGGGGTGCGGGGTGAAATAAAAATAATACGGAGTAATATAATTCCTTAGTCCTATTGGATTTTGCTTAAAATAAGAAAAGTAAAATTGAAGTTTGTGTAGGTAAGAGAGAAATAAGTGGAATCACAAATTCACTTCTCTAAATGAAAAGTGACGAGGTTTTTTGAGCAAATGAAAAATAAAAGTTGGCAAAATACCACATTAGTAGCAACTAGCAAATAATACATTATTATAATTTTGTAAATCATAGCATCTTAATTATTATCTAGAAATTAACTATTGAAACACTGAAGAATAACATAGTGGGGGGAGCAAAAATACAAAAAACTAATACTACTAATTTAAAAATGAAAAGCTGGGAGGGACCATGGCCCCCCTAGCATAAGCTATAGCTCTGTCCCTGTGGGGACAGGAAGGGATGGCGAGACAAATAAGGAAGATGTTGTATTGATGGTACGCCCCTGCTAAACCGCCCGCCGCCTTGGAGTGAGTACAAGTTTGTGTTCTATTTTCTCTAGAAGTTTTATTTTTTGATATATCATACTTTTTTATACAAATAAAACTCGTTTGTTTTGGGTGGGATTTTAGATCATTGATCCTTTTTTCTTCCATTCTCTACCGTTATTTTATTATTATTCTACTCCACCCACCTTACTTTATTTTTTTAGAAATAAATTTAATTATCATTAATAAAACCATAGTTCAATACATCAACAACGATATCTGAAGGATGATTTAACCAAATCCGACAATCACACATTGAAACAACAAACTTAGCAAACTCATGAGTAATGAGTTGTTGTGCTTACAGATCGCCTAACATGAGGGAAAGAAGTACTTAAAAAAACTCAAACTAATCTCTATAATATCTTCAATCAGCAATCCTAATACCAAGTAGCTCAGTAAAGGGGGGTAAATTCTTGATCCATGGTAAGGCTGCACCTATGATAAATCCCCCAAGCTGATCTCTAGAATCCAGTCAAGACCACATTTGTGCTTTCTAGCAGAAGCATCCACGTTCAGCTTGACTCCTAACAAGTTCGGTATGATTTGATCTCTCTAAGTCTGGTATGATCCGCTCTGATTTAGAACTGGAACAAGTTTAAGAAAAACTTGCACACAATTACTAATTCACGAATTTATCAACTATTCTTAAATGTTTGAATCAAGGATTGTAAAGATGACCAGAAACAAATACGGAATACCTGATAATGAGTAATTATTGTTGTTGATGTTGCATAATTATTACACATACAATTATAATGTGATTATCCCACAATAACTATTTGGGGCGGATCTATTGAGGAAGGAGAGGGGGCAGCTGCCCCCAATACAATCCCACTAAGTCCATGTAATGTATTAGAATATACAAAAAAAACATGTATTGCCCCCAATCAAATATCATCGTTGCCCCCAATAAAGCAGCCTCCTAGCTCATCTAAAATAATAAAATCTGAAATCAAGATGTCAAAACCCATGTGCTGAGGTAGGAAGAGCAACAAGTGTGTTGCTAATTTATTAGTGAGATACTGAGATTCAATATATTAGGATTTTTAATTGTTTGTTTGTAACTGTTTGATGTTATGTTTTTGAAAATCTAAAGTTCCCATCACTTCCATAACTCTAATTTAAAGTTAGTGATTAGTGAAGAAGTCTTACATCTAATTTATTTATTTTAGTTGATGACTTATTAAAATAGTTAATATTATTAGAAAAATGTCGTTTAGATAGTCAAATAAAAAAATTATAAGTGATTGTGATTTTAAATAGTTAAATTAGAGTTCATTTAGAGATCTTGTTTTTTGACTTATCAGACTTATCAGTTAACTAGTGAACTATTTTTTCAAACACGTAACTTTAGATTACGTGCGTTGTATTGTGTAATAATAAGAAAAAGCAAGGTTGAAATTATTTTTCCGGCTGTTGGTTGAAGTTACTTTAAGGGATCATTTTAGCTATTTTCATGTAATAATTTTTTTATTTTATTAATAAAATATGTTTTGAAGATATATATATTTTTGCATAAATCAACAGAACCAGTCAATCCAGTCACTTTAGCGAGAACTTCATGAATTTCAGCAGAATTATATTAGTCGATTCACCCTATTTCAGTATTACCAAACTAACTAAATACGGAGTATATAATAATAGTCATAATGATAATAATGTAATATTAATTCCACTTTTCGAGACTTATTGAATATATATTTGATTATCGATCTTTCATTAAAATCGGGTATGTAGCTCTAATAGCGCTTGTCACGGGGAACCGTAGAGATTTGCTTCCCCACTATGAAAATAATGAAGACTAATGTGTGTAATATAAATTGATGATATTTTTTGTGATGGTATTTTTTTCTTGAAAAATACAGTAGTATGTTTAAAAAAGTTATTCAAGAAAAGAAAATTCACCAAGAACATTTGTGATGTGTTTTGTTAATAGTATTATACTACTAATTTTTGTTCCTTTGAACCATTTCTTAACTGCTTTGCCCCCAATAACTTTTTATCCTAGATCCGCCACTGATAACTATATAATGATCACAACACACTTTGTCAAAGGAAAAGTACTTGGCTCAAATAAATGTGGATGGATGTTTATTTGGGTGGCAGTATGGTAGTGGAGGTGATCGGGTGACATTGATTAATTATTAATTATCATTAGTTATTAACTATCAATTGTTAATCATAAAATAGAGTTATCAAAAAAATAAATGTAACATTGAAAAAGACATTGTGTAATGATTTGTCACTTTAAGTAAGTCATTTTTTCTTTTGTATTTTAGTGATATTCATAAGAAGTTGCCTACATATCCACTTTTCTATACGTAATCTAAAGAAATTATGACAAATATATGACTAAAATTAAGATAATTGACAAAAAATGTGATTTTTTTAGTTTAGTGATTAAACTTTGATGGTTTAATGAATGTGTTCAACTCAATCCATATGAAGTGTGCATAATAATCAGGGAAACTGTCAAATAGATCCTCGAATTTGAGGACCTATTTGGCAGTTTTCACTAATAATTATTATAACTTTTTACTCAGTAATATATTACACTTAAAATAAAAAAAATAAACCTCCTAATATTTAAAATCAAAATTGTTTAAAAAGTGTGGTTAATTGCAAAAACAAGGATGGTTAATACAAACTTTATTCAAGGATGGAGGTGCAACATTAATACACCATAGTTGACCCACTCGTGTAACGTGGCAATGATCATCGAACAAATTCTTTAATGTGTTGGAGACTCCGCAAAGAATCCCTGTACTCTAGCCCACCCGAATAATTCAAACCGCGTCCGCCTAAAAGTAAACATTATAGCACCTGACTGTAACATTCCTCGCTCTTTCTTGCGTTCGAGGATAGCAAAATTCCTTCGATTTTTGCTTCGATGGAAGTAGCTGCTCCGTCAGATTCTTAGGTACGTGCAGTTCATCCTCCCTGACTGTGCTCGTTCGTTGTTTCTTTTTGCTTGATTTCTTCGGTTAGTTTTTCTGTTTAATTTTCGCTGGTTTCTCAAGTTTGAGATGTAGAGGATATTTCATTGTTATATCGGATAACGACAGTTATGTTGAAGCACTCTAAACATATATCCTTTCCTTTTTTGTTGTTATTAATAACTTCATCAATGAAATCATATGATATGCTCATCGAGTTGAGCATTTAAAGCTTAGCCTGCTTTTGTTTTGCAGAGTTGTACTTTCTCATAAATTTGACACTGTTTGATGGTGTAAGGTCATTGTTGCTTAAATGCTGAAAAACAAGGAAAAGAAGATATAGAAAGCATATGTAGTAACCCGCCTTCTCTAAGAAGGCTGACACTTTGTTGTTTTAAATAATACGGAGTATACGTAAGAGAAGAAGGAAGTTCTTTAAGATACGGAGGGAGTAAAATACATTAATTAACGGCGTGCAGAGGTTCACTGTTCCTTTGTTTTTGTTTTTTTGTTTTAGGGAGAATTTAGGGTAGAGGGGTGGGGGACAATAAGATTGGGAAATTTAATACTCCCTCCGTCCCAAAATGGTTGGACAAATTTCCTTTTTTGGCCGTCCCAAAAAGGTTGACCATTTCCATTTAAAGTAAGGAATATGTGGCTAAAGTTAATTCTCTCTCTTCTGCAGAAATTTTAACCACACAGTTTTTACTTTATTAATCCACGTGCAAGTCAACATTGGCCAACGATTTTGGGACGGAGGGAGTATTTATTTTCGAACTGAATCAGATGCTCATGTTTTTGCTTGTTCTTTGATTAACTTTGTAATTGTACCTTATAGTATGTTGAACTGTGGACTTCTGGATGGAGCGAGCATTAATTCTGTTAAGTTTCACACTGACAAACATTTGGGGGGGGGTCCTGACAGTGTTTCACCTGTTAAGCCCTGCAAGATGATCATGCTGCTAGTGCACATGTTCCTGAGAAAAACGTCAAAGAATGGTTCAGAAAGGTGAATTAGTTCTTATTGGTGTATTAGCTGGTGTGGCTGCTGGAATTCTTATTGCATCACTCACATTCTTTTGTATACGTTGGTATAAATTGCGGGCCCACCGCCGTCGCCGTGCAAATGAGCAATGTCAATCAACTATTCCAATACGTACTTATGGCTTAGATACAAGCAACGAATCTAGTGCATCTATAAACATTAATGGATCACAATACCTTCCCAAAGGTTCTCACCATAGCTGGTGGAGCCGCCCTCGTAAAGATCAGTTTACTTCAGCATCGGGCATAACAAGATATTCTTACAAGTATGTAATCTCAAACTGAGTATTAATCCCCTTTGACGGTATTTATATCTTTTAATTATAGATCCTTTTTATCATTACTTATCATTTCTATCACATTATCATGGAGGATTGGTGTTCGTGCTGTTTAGTATTCATATTTGCAACCGTTATTGATGAGTTGGCTAGGAATATACAAGATGGTATATCATGATGTAGGTTCTTTGAGGATGGTAATACTAAATGCAACTAAGGGATGGTTAAGTGCCAAGTAGGAAATACAGTGACATGAGTTAAACTCACGAAAGTTTATACAATGCAAAATGGGGTGAAATTGGATGGAAGTGCTTTCAATGAGCAATTTTTTCAAGTATTTGAGATGTATTATACAAAGAAAAGGAAATTTTTATATAAATATGACACATAAGGTGAATGTAGGTTGGCCAGATAAAGATCTTCAGTATTGATTAATAAACCGCCTTTGAAGAATTAATTTTTGTTTTTCTTCACAATTTTCTACACGACTCTACCTTAAGCTTACTTTGTTCTTTCTCTCTCCTGTTCTTTTCTCTTAGATCTGAAACGAGATCTCAGCCATGCTCATAACAGTATGTTGCTATTACACCTCATGACCTCATGGACCGCTGAGAATTTTGAGATTTTTTTAATGTCACTCTGTTTTAAATTAGAGTATAGAACCTCCAGAAATGGATAGGCATGCCAGGAGCGTAACTAGAAGCAAATAAATTAATAAAACATTATTATGAGCATACTGGAGACTGGTAAAAACAGCTACTACTTTCTCATTCTTCATGCTCAATAGCTTGAGCCTCTAATAGTCTAATGTCTTATGTGAGCATACATATGTGCTAAAAGCCAAAGATACGTAATGTTAGAGTCATAGTTGAACTGCAAGTTATATGCCATGCTCCTGTGTTTACTACTATTTCACGCGAACATATGGTCAAAGTTTGCTTGATCTAATCTCAAGTGCATCACCAGGGACATTCAGAAAGCGACTGAAAACTTTATGAACATCCTGGGACAGGGATCTTTTGGTCCAGTTTACAAAGCGACACTGCCAAATGGTGAAGTGGTTGCTGTAAAGAAACTGGGTACCAACTCTAGACAAGGGGAAAGAGAGTTCCAGACAGAGGTATGATCTAACTTTGTTGGGTGGGGGGCTCTAACACTATTCTGGTTAAGGAATTTTACTATCAGAGTCTCCTACTAAAATCTCATTTGTAGGAGACTGACTCTAGGAGGGATCGTGAATATTTCCTTTAGAAAGTGCTCACTCACACGATCACCCAATGTCACAAATAAATTTATTAGATGTGAGAAGTCTCATAAGTGGAATTAACATTTACAGATGAGGAAGAAAGGAAAACCATAACATCTAAATTGGATTTCCCTGATAATTTTTACTATCAAATTTGTTTTGTGGACAAATGATGTAAAACCCATTTATGTGATCGATGTATAATACCGAGTAAGTATTGTTTTACAGGTTACACTTTTGGGTAGGCTTCATCACCGTAATTTAGTGAATTTACTTGGATATTGTGTGGACAAAGGGCAACACATGTTGATATATGAATTCATGATCAATGGAAGTTTGGAGAACCATTTACACAGTAAGTAAAAATGTTTGACTTTGAGATCGTAACTCCCTGGAGTTTCTTTCCTCCATATAGCATTATTATTTGGGGTATTTTTGCTGTTGCAAAAGGTTTTTCAAAGGTTGCTTAATTTACAAAGTTCGATTCTGGTCGTCAACATATCATTGAGTATTAAAAATGATTTTTAAAATTAATGTATTTAGACCCTTGATCAATGGCGTACGCTATTGTATTTGCTCTCAGATGAGGAACGAGCATTGAGTTGGGAAGAGAGACTGCAAATTGCTTTTGATATTTCACATGGCATTGAATATCTTCATGATGGGGTAGACTGATTTATTCTTTAGCCTCATTCAATAAGAGTTGAAAACATTGTATAATCATTCAATGCTATTACTGTAAACAGGCCGTGCCACCTGTGATACATCGAGATTTGAAGTCTGGTAATATTTTGCTAGATCATGTTATGAGAGCTAAGGTCAGTTGGTAGACAGCCAAATTCTGCCCTATAAGACTGCCTCGAATGAGTAAAAAACCTTACTCTGGAAATACAAAATTCATGTAATCACCCTGTTAATCCAGTTTTTTATCCGATCTGTTGAGACTTGAGAATGAATAACTTTTACTCAGTTTTCCATTTTTGTTACAAACTAAAGTCACGTTTGGTTAAGGTAGAACTTTTTCATCTTGGGAATGTAACTATGGAAAATCACGCTTCCTGCTTATTCACACTCTTAGGCTTATTTGTTGTTAAATTGAATACATCTTACACAACTTAATTTTAACACCTTTTTGGGAAAAATACACTAAACTAATGGGAAGAAACTGTCTTTGTTTAAAACCTAAAGTGAAATAATCTGGAAAGAAAAGAAAGACTCCAACATTATGTTCGACAGTTTGTTCCGTTTTGAGTTTTGCATGCTTCCTGCATATTATTAGGTTGCTGATTTTGGGCTCTCAAAGGAAGAAGTATATGATGGAAGTAATTCTGGGCTTAAAGGCACATATGGCTACATTGATCCTGTGTATATATCAACAAACAAGTTTACAACAAAAAGTGACATTTATAGTTTCGGTATCATCCTCTTTGAACTTATTACAGCTATTCATCCCCATCAAAACTTGATGGAATATGTCAATCTTGTAAGTTTTTAACTCATCCTTTCAGAAATGTCTTTGATAACTATCCAAAACAATTTTTGGACAACACCTTCCTGTTTCTATTCTTAATCTTATTCTCACATTATTGTGTGCTTGTTCATGATTTTTCGCCCTTCGGAAGGCGACAATGAGCCCAGATGGTATTGATGAGATTGTTGACAAGAAAATTGTTGGGACATATAACCCACAAGAAGTAAGAAGCCTGGCTGCAATTGCTCACAAGTGTTTGAAGAATACTCCAAGAAGACGCCCCTCAATTGCAGAAGTTTCCCATGCAATATCAAAGATAAAGCATAGGGGGGGCCTCATCAGAGAAGATACTGTCTCGTTTGCCCAAGATGATTTTTCTAGAATGATTAGTACTATTGAAAAGCGACAAATTGAATTGAGAAATATGGAAGGCATAACCGAGAAAGATGCTCACTGAAAGTCTTCCATCTTACCTGTTCCCTTTTCTCAATTTGATATATCGTATTTTTGAGTATGTAATTTAGTTATTGTTCTTCTACCTCCTTTTCAAGATCATCATTACGGAGGTCAAATCAAAGTCTGCAGGTGCATATTGTGCATCCATAATGCATAACGCATACTACCTCCGTCCCTTAGTTTACTTCCATAATAAAGTGTCACGCGGATTAAGAAAGGGGTTTTTACTTGGATATTACTAATTTTGAACCAATTATCCAAAAAGTGATCACTTTTAAAAGGGGGCAAAAAAGTGACGAGGAAGGTCATATATGTGTAGGCATGGACCCGGTTCGGGCCGCCCGGCCCGGGACCGGCCCGGCCCGCCACTGTGCGAGCCCGGAACCGGCCCGGTTCTCGGGTCCGGGTCCGGGTCGGGCCTAGGCCCGGTGGGGTGGCCGGGTCCGGGCTCGGGCCTTGAATTTGGCGAACCGGCCCGGCCGGGTCGGGCCCGGGCCGAATTGATTTTTTTTTTAATTGTTTTTTCTTTTTTTGGGGTTAGCCAAGTTGGGCTTGATGGTTAGGAGGGGTTTGGGGGTTTGGGGGGTGTGGGGGTGAGTGGGGGGGGTTAGGAAAGCAAAAAAAAAAAAAATTAATAACCGAACCGGAGGCCCGGCCCGGACCCGGTGGCTACCCGGGCCGGTCCCGGGCCTTCCTTCCAAAAAAAAAAGCCCGGCCGGGCCCGGCCCGGAACCGGAACCGGCCCGGCCCGGGTCCATGACTATATATGTGCAATTAGAAAACATGATGTAACTGCAAAAAATTTATGTTACTGCGTGTTCGTTTTTTGTAACCACAGCCACCAACCGTGTCACTGTAGCCACCGCCCGTGTCACAACAGTCACCGCCCGTGTCACTGCAGCCACCGCCCGTGTCACTGCAGCCACCGCCCGTGTCACTGCAGCCACCGCCCGTGTCACTGCAGCCACCGCCCGTGTCACTGCAGCCACCGCCCGTGTCACTGCAGCCACCGCCCGTGTCACTGCAGCCACCGCCCGTGTCACTGTAGCCGCTGCCCGTGTAACTGTAGCCACCGCCCGTGTCACTGTAGCCACCGCCCGTTTCACGGTAGTCACCGCCCGTGTCACCTCCGCCGCCACCAAAGTGACTCCCACCTATCGGCCATAGTGACCACCACTTAGTGACTCCGCACGATGACTGCCTACTCACCGCCAGTGTCTGCCGCCACCCCAGCCCCCTGCCCCACCCCCTGTCCTCCTCCCCTCAAGTCCTTCTCCGGCCAGTTCACACAAACCTCAGTCATAACATCACCACCACCACCCCAACCCCAAACCCCCACCCTGACCCCCAGCCCCAGGCCATTTCCGGTCACTAGCCGCCCAGTCCCGCTCCCTGCCCCGCCCCTGTCCTCTCCAGACCTCTCTCCGACCAGTTCGCCCACAAGCTTAGCCAAACCACCACCTCCACCACCATGGAACCTTCTTCGCACCGCCACCAGAAGCGAAAGCCCCAAATCAGAGTTGCCTTCCACCGAAATGGCAGATACACCGATGGCCCCAAATCACAGCCGGTCCATCAAGGACGGAAGATCTGACATCGACGGCCCCAAATCGCGGTTGTCGTCCATCCAGGTGGCGGATCTAGCACCAGCGGCCATCTAGGATGACAGACAAGCTAGCAGAGATGCGGCCATTGAACATCGGCCAGCAGAGGCGCAAACATTAGTCAGCGGAGGCGCGGCCATCGGGAAACGTGGACGACAAGTGGCGATTGCAGAAGAGAGAAGAAGAAGGCGGTTGTTCGAGATTCACAGCAAAGAAGAAGGTATTGGGCAGCGAAGATGAAGAAGACGACTACTCACCGTAGTCCAAAAAAGGGCGGCGGTGGATTTTCACGGCCGCGACCCTGACGGGTGGCGGAGGCGATGCGGAAGCAGCTAGCGGAGGTAGTGGCAGCCGGTGGAGAGAAGAGGCGGAGCGGCCGTCCTTGCTGGCCGCGGAGGCGAGACAGATGTGCCGCTTGGAGGTTAGGAGATGAACGGATTGGGATATAGAGGATCTGGACGGACATTGGGAGACGGAAATCTGGCAGCCGAACAAAGTTAAATGAGGTCAGATTTTTGGGAAACTGAAAAATGGTCTTTGTTTTGGAATTGAAGAGTTCGGTTGTTATATTCCGGCCATTTTTTCTTAAGAAAGTGGGAATTGTGTGATGTAGAGTTATGCATAGGAGAAAGAAATGTTGTGAACCACAAATTCTTTGTCAAAAAGGGAAAATGAAGTTCTTTTTTGAACGGACGAAAAGAGAAAGTTGGAAGTATTTTCAGGAAACCTTATTTTTGGCCACTAAAGTTGGTTACTTGGTTACACTGTCATTATGACCTCACTTTTCGTGAGCAATTTAGTCATTCTTATGGAACTTTTTACTTTGAAAATACAATTAATTCAAACATCTTGACATCTTATATAACAAGTCATTTTTTAAAAGAACTATTAAGAGAATTTATAGTTTTCTTAAAAAACATATAAATTGTAAAAAATGTAAAAATAGAAATAAAAAAATAGTAAAAAATATATATAATAATTTAAAAAACCTGAAAATAAAAAACCTTAAGAAAATGAAAATTTAAAAGTATAAAGTTAAAATATAAAACTTTTAAAAAGATGTACATCATACAAGTAATTCCAAAAACATAAAAAAGTTTGACAAACTTAAATTTTTACAATTGTTTTCATATTTTTTTCTAAAACGGTTTTTTTTAATGGAAGAAAACCAAATAAATGACTTTTACTTCTTCCGTCCTGCTAGGATGTTCCTGCTTTTCTTTTTAGCAGTCCCAAAAAGAAGTTCCTCTTTTCCTAAATGGAAAATTATCCTACATCAAAACAGTGCAAAACAATGCCAAACAGTGCAAAACAGTGCCAAACAGTGTCGAAACAGTGTCAAAACAGTAAATTTTACCCCTAGAAAGTTTATTTCCTTAATATGTGTAAGTCAAACTAGGAACATCTTAGCGGGACGGAGGTAGTATTTGGATATATATTATTTTCCAACTGTACATATGATAGGACAAACGATGGTTTTGGAACACTTTACTTATCGTTATGAAAGTTATTTGATTACTCAAGCAAATAATATTTTTACCTATATGTATAAACTTGTAGATATACTAAGAGGCCGTTTGGTAATACCTGAATCGGCTGTATTGGCTGATTCTGCTGAAGTTTATGAAGTTCTGGCTGAATTGGCTGGTTTGCCTTATTCTGCTGATTTATGAAAAAATTATATTTAAAATACATTGTATCAATAAAATAAAGAAAAAATTATATGAAAAAATAGCTAAAATGATTTCCTACAGTAACTTCAGCCAATACAGCCAGAAAAGTAACTCCAACCTTACTTTTTCTTATTATTACTCAATTCAGCGCACGAAATCCAAAATTACGTGTTTGGTGAAAAAGCTGGCTGATAAGCCTGATAAGCCGAAAAATACGATGACCAAATGGGCTCTAAAATATCTAAATTATGATATCAAAGGTTTTAAAATACTCCTGAATTATTTATCATATAAATAGTGTTCGTCAAATAGAAGTAAAACTCATCCACTTTTTAAAAACATGACCAAATAGTTTAAACTTCTATAAATAGAGTTTTTTTTATTTGTGCTTGGACAAAAATATCTTAATAGGGCTGGAGCTTTTGCCCCAATCTGTCTAGGTCATTGGGTCGCTGCTTGCCACTAGGGGTGGGAAAAACCGAACCGAAACCCGGAAACCGACCCTGGACCGACCCGAATTATGATCCCGGTCCGGGTTTTTTCTTTTTAACCGGCCCGAATTTAAAAAAACCCGGACCGAACCGAAAATTCCGGGCTCATTAACGGGCCTTAAAATCTATAACCCGGCCCGGACCGAAAAAACCCGAAACAATTACTTTTAATATAAAATTAATATAGTATATGAATATAAATAAAATATTTCCTAATATATGATTATAATCACGGTGGATAAAAAAAGATTTAGTAACTTTTAGTGACTACAAATATGTTGAATTTGTTTGGCGTAATGATGACCATGAGAATATATTTATAGCAACTCTAGTAACTTTTTTATTTATAAAATTTATTTCGTAATATTTTTAAGAAACCTATATTATTTATATATATACATCTTACATAAAATATTAAGATAATTATCTTCTTTAAATTTGAATTGTTGGTGATTTTGGAGACTAAAATTTGTGTTATTATTTGCGGTTTGTATTTTTGATTAATTTTATTTGAAAATACGTGTTAAAATATAAAACAATGACATATTTCATGGCCGGGCTTTAACCGGTCCAACCCGAACCCGGACCGAACCCGAGCTACCAAAAACCCGACTCGGACCGAATATAATGGGCTTTGTTCCGGTCCCTAATTTTCATAACCCGAGACCTTCCGGGTAATTTCCGGGTTTAGCAAAAACCCGACCCAGACCGGACCGATCTCACCCCTACTTGCCACCAGACGACCAGACTGTCGGGCGCCGAAAAATTCAGCAAAATTGCTCTAACAATCTAGGCTTAATGTATGTTCATTTATTTCAGATTAAACCAGATCTTCAAACAAACAAAGTTATTTTAAATAAAATTGAATGAATTTAAAAGATTTCAATTGTTTTAATTGAATAGATGTGTCAAACATCGCTTCAAGTGTTTTTATTAGGTTTATTGGCATGGACATTATAAGGATTGAGAAAGGCTACTATTCTTTCAAACTAAAGTTAAAATGCTAGAAAGGTGTTCAATGCATTCCCCCCAATTAAAAAAGAATGGAGTATTTGACAAATTCACCTCATGTTCTCACTTGGTGCCTTGGTGGTCCCTTAATTGGTGATGCTTCTTGCACCCTAATGTCCTGTATTTGTCGCCCTTATTAGGGACAATATCAAACATTTAATTGGGGAGGTATATTGAATTGCACAAATATTTTTGGAATAAATTTCTCCATGAATCTTTTACAATAATAATTATGAAAAAGAGAAATAGACTAAAAAGTGATGTCTTTTTAAAATTTCCAAAAATGTGATCAATATCACAATTAATTCCCGTAGTGCATAATGACCAAGTGACTTCGACATAGTGACTCCAGCATAGTGACTCCGACCAGTGACTGCCGCTGCCGCCTCCTCTGTGACTGCCACCGTCCTCCAGCCAGTGACTGAGGTACACCTCCGGCCAGTCGCTGGGGGCCGCCCCATCGATCAG